ATCATAAGTTACAATGACTTATAGAAATGGTGATAGTGATGTCATCATAAGTTACCATGACTTATAGAAATGTTTATAGTGATGTCATCAGAAGTTACAATGACTTATAGAAATGGTGATAGTGATGTCATCATAAGTTACCATGACTTACAGAAATGAATAGCATCATAAGTTATCATAACTAACAGAAATAGGGATAGTGATGTCTTCATATGTTACCATGACTTATAGAAATGGTGATAGTATTGTCATCATAAGTTAACATGACTAACAGAAATGGGGGTAGTGATGTCATCATTAGTCACCATGACTAACAGGAATGAATATCAACATAAGTTACCATAACTAACAGAAATGGGGACTCATACCACATCTTCTTATATCTATATAGAGATGTCATTATAAGTTACCATGATTTACAGAAATGGTGATAGTGATGTCATCATAAGTTACCATGACTTATAGAAATGGTGATAGTGATGTCATCATAAGTTACCATGACTTATAGAAATGGTGATATAGTGATGTCAAAAGTTACAATGACTTACATAAAAGGGGGTAGTGATGTCATCATAATTAACCATGACTTACAAAAATGGTGATAATAGAAATGGTGATAGTGATGTCATCATAAGTTACCATGACTAACAGAAATGCGGGTAGTGATTTCATCATAAGTTACCATGACTTATAGAAATGGTGATATAGTGATGTCATAAGTTACCATGACTTACATAAAAGGGGGTAGTGATGTCATCATAATTAACCATGACTTACAAAAATGGTGATAGTGATGTCATCATAAGTTACCATGACTAACAGAAATGGGGGTAGTGATGTCATCATAAGTTACCATGACTAACAGAAATGGATATCACCATAAGTTACCATAACTACCAGAAATGGGGATTCATACCACATCTTCTTATATCTATATTGAGATGTCATTATAAGTTACCATGACTTATAGAAATGTTTATAGTGATGTCATCATAAGTTACCATGACTAACAGAAATGGTGATAGTGATGTCATCATAAGTTACCATGACTTATAGAAATGGTGATATAGTGATGTCATAAGTTACCATTACTTACATTAAAGGGGGTAGTGATGTCATCATAATTTACCATGACTTAGATAATAGAAATGGTGATAGTGATGTCATCATAAGTTACCATGACTTACAGAAATGGTGATATAGTAATGTCATCATAAGTTACCATGACTAACAGAAATGGTGATATAGTGATGTCATCATAAGTGTCCATGACTAACAGAAATGGTGATATAGCGATGTCATCATAAGTTACCATGACTTACAGGAATGGGGGTAGTGATGTCATCATAAGTTACCTTGACTAACAGGAATGCTGATATAGTGATGTCATCATAAGTTACCATGACTAACAGAAATGGTGATAGTGATGTCATGAGTTACCATGACTTACAGGAATGGGGATAGTGATGTCATCAAAAGTTACCATGACTAACAGAAATGGTGATGGTGATATCATTATAAGCTACCTTGACCTATAAGAAATGGTGATAGTGATGTCATCATAAGTTACTATGACTTACAGAAATGGTGATATAGTGATGTCATCATAAGTTACCATGACTAACAGAAATGGTAATTGTGATGTCATCATAAGTTACAATGACTTATAGAAATGGTGATAGTGATGTCATCATAAGTTACCATGACTTATAGAAATGTTTATAGTGATGTCATCATAAGTTACAATGACTTATAGAAATGGTGATAGTGATGTCATCATAAGTTACCATGACTTACAGAAATGAATAGCATCATAAGTTATCATAACTAACAGAAATAGGGATAGTGATGTCATCATATGTTACCATGACTTATAGAAATGGTGATAGTATTGTCATCATAAGTTACCATGACTAACAGAAATGGGGGTAGTGATGTCATCATTAGTTACCATGACTAACAGGAATGAATATCAACATAAGTTACCATAACTAACAGAAATGGGGACTCATACCACATCTTCTTATATCTATATAGAGATGTCATTATAAGTTACCATGATTTACAGAAATGGTGATAGTGATGTCATCATAAGTTACCATGACTTATAGAAATGGTGATAGTGATGTCATCATAAGTTACCATGACTTATAGAAATGGTGATAGTGATGTCATCATAAGTTACCATGACTTATAGAAATGGTGATAGTGATGTCATCATAATGATAATGATGCTTTGTTTCTGCTAGTTTTTTTGTTTTGTTTTTTTTAAGTTTTTTTTTTTGGTTTGAGGAAAAGGGGTTGTTCTCAGTATTTGCAATTTTTTTCTTTCCTGGGATTTCCTCAGAATACAAAATGTTGAAGCATACTGTGTATTTAACTTCTTATTTTCTTCGTTACATTTTTCATCATCTTTGCTTGCAAAACATAATCTTTCTTCAATAACACACCAATCAAGTCAACTCAAGCCCATTTTGTTGTTGTCTATTTGTGACAATTTTGATTGGATATTGAAAATCAGAAAATTCCCCCAATTCAAAAAATAAGACACTTACAAATTTGCATAAGTGAAGATGCTATTCTATTTATAATCCGTCCTGTGTAATTTATCTATAAGATCAAATATATCATTGGATAGATTTATGCTATTTGAAATCTTGGATTGGTTATTCTTTTTATTTCAATGACTTCAAAAGTAGAGAATGCAAGGAACAACATCTTTCTCTGCACATTTTCTCAATTCATTATGATGTAACATCATTCACACTATCCTGAGAACACCCATTGTTGTAAATGAAATAATTTTGCAAATGAAATAAACTATAAATCCTGTAATTTCACTCTTTTGACATCATACAACAATGGGTGTTCTCAGGATAGTGTGAATGATGTTACAACATGATGTAAATTATAGTTTTACATTTACTGGGAGATCACAGTGGTTCAGTATAACCAATTTAATAAATAGGCATAAACATATTTAGTATAATAAAGGTTATGTCATGATTGTTGTTGTTATTAAACTTAATTTGAAATAAATACAAAAAAATGTTTCCAGTGAACAGCGCATATATTACCATTTGAATTCCAGAAATATTTTGTTAGGCCTTTTTTTTTGAAGAACAATAATTCACAATATAACTATGCAGGGCCACATTAATTCCAATTACTCTATTTTAAGATATGAATGCATATGAATTAAGGGGAGAATACTTGACATTCGAATTGTAATTCATTATTCACCACATTTTTTCCAAAATGTAATCATTAAAGACCAGTAGCATATGATTATACTAAAATCTGTAACAAAGATTTCCTAGTTTTAAAATCCTCAATAATTCAAGAAACAGCTTCAGTATAATATGTTCATTAAATTGTTGTTTAAATTTTCCTTTCGTATTGCCTATTTTAAAGAAATACTAAACTATTCTGTTTTTCTACATTAAATATCTCTGTATACAAGCCATAGAATTAATTGTCAACAATATTTAAGGAGGTTCAAATGAATACTTCACAACATAAATACCCAGATATGTGTTGCAAACTAAATACAACATAATTACCATTTTAGCTGAGCTTCCTCTATCTTTCATTAAAATACAGTAATATGGGAGATAACTCTAATTTGGTTACTAATCAAAATCTGAACAATGACATGAAAAGATAACTCTTGGTGACCTGCCTCAAAATATATTTTTTCTTACACTAAGAAAGATAACTCTAATATAGAATAGGGCTTGATTTTAAACAAATTGAAAAATTTAAATATAATAATATTTTGCATTTAAAAAGTAAAATCTCCCCCCTTACAGCAACCCAGTAAAATGACTAACCTGTCCTATTTAGGAAGCTGTATTTTAAGAAGAAGAAGAAGAAGAAGAAGAAGAAGAAAGTATAATGAAACATATTTTTTCCTGTATTTTTTTTCTGCATTTTAGAAAATAAACTCATAAACTACAATAATATTGGCTCATTTTAAGTTTTCTTCATTAAAAGAGAAACAACCTAACCAAAAAGATGTTTTGCAATAAAATGTCTTGTGTAAAGATGTTGATACAGGTAAACAAATTTTGGGGGTGTATGTATAAGATTGCCAAATTAGGTCAAAAACTGACATTTTGACTTCATAGTAACATCACATACAAAATTTCTATCTCAATATTTATCAAATTAAGAAAACTTTGAATGAACTGGAGAATTTTACAGTTTTTGCAATTCTAACAGCCTAATAAAGGCTCAAAACATACCTTAAAAATTCCATAAAACAAAATAATAAATGAAATGACCAAATCAAACATACATTATTGTCAATCCTAAATCAATCTTTTGGACTGACTGTTTAAATATAATGGAAGTATATGTTTGCTTGTCATAATTTGTTCATTGTTTTCATTTTTGATTGAAGGGTTTTAGAGGTTCATTCAAAGAGAATCTGCCTGTTAAAACCACATAAATCTTATAATACCTGCAGTAAAAATACTTTCCCACAAACCCTATTGTCACCACACATCAAGCATTTCTAAATATATACATAGATATACTTTGAGATTTGGAAGAATGTCAATTATATAAAGTTCTGCTGAAAAAACAAGTTCATACTCTGACCTCCTAAGAATAAATACCCTCACTCATAATTCAAAGTATTGTTAAATAGAAAGAAGGTGACTGACAGATAGAAAAGTGCTCAAATGTTATAATTCATTACTATCAAGCTAATGAACAAATATGAAGTAATTTTTTTTTCAGTAGTACCTGAGAAAAGTGATGCATAAATATTTGTTGGACAAGCAGACAACAAGGTGAATGCAATATTAAAATGGTAGAATAAATTGAAAAGATTCTTAAGCAATAGACCATTGGAAATTGTAATTTGCACAATGCTGTAAATAGCCCATTGACAAAATTATTTTATTATCACACAGGAGTCCTTTCAAGACAATGCATTTGTATAACAAACAAGTAAGGATACACTTTTGCTTCCACCAATAGCTGTGACCTACCTGGTTGGCTGTAAACGTATCGGCAAAGTCTGCCGTCTGTGGTTCTGCATTAGTTTAAAACGAATCATTCTATGCGAGTACATCTGTATTGGGGTGAGACTCCCCGTATTTCTGAGAAGATTGAGTTGTTGGTTGATCTGCATTTGTGATAATAGTCGTCCAGTATCTAACTATTAATAGAAATGATAAAGCTAATTAAAAACAATTGTAAAATTTAAGTTGGAAAATATATACGAAAAGGTTTTAAAAAAAACCTACGAATATTTCAAAGCTGCTTTTTTCAATCTATGACAATTTTTTCAAAAAAGCTATTCAATTGTTCTTGTGTCATAATTTCATATCCCTTAATTGATATATGATAATAGAGAATGATATTAGTATATTATTGAATTGTTAACCTTATTCAAGAAAGAAAGTTCTTTTCAATATAAAAACAAGCATATATGTACGGACACCATTTCCCGCTCCTACTATCATTTTTAACACGTTCAATGAACTGCATAATTTGGGTCAAAACTGTAATTTGGAACTTGTGTACTATGTTTCCAGTTGATCGGACCACAATTTCATGGTAATCGACCCAAAACCCATTTTTATTCAGAAGAAGGGACAGATGGACTCTAACCAGAAAACATAATGCCCCTACTATCATTGGAAAGGCTTAACAATTGGGAAATAAGACTGCATTTATTTTGGTGAAATAATTTGATAGTGAACATTAACTGTGACATCTTATATTTTACATCCATTAAGGACCCTAAACAAGATAAGGGAGACAACAAAAAATCTGTAAGACATATTTTACTCCATCATACATACTGATATTTTCCTTAAAAAATGTTCCCTTCTCATGTTTTCAATTTTTCCCTAATATTTTGCAACCCTTTCTTTTTCCCCAAGCTATGCACTTTATAACAGAAACCTCCTTGTTTCTCAATACTTTTTAAATAAACTTACATCTAAAATACACTTCCAGAAAATTCATGAAATTTTTGATAGTTCTAACATATTTTTCATGTAGTTTGACATTCATTTATTCAAATATGAAAATCCATTGACATCTTTTTTACAAACCAAAATAATAATTTTTCAAAGGTTTGTATCCCAAAACCAGGCAAGATCTATCTTTATTTTTCAATAATATTTCTGTGTTATACAAAGGTGACATGGAAAAGGGTGTTATATATGATAGTTCTCATTGCTGTGTGTGATACTGGTAAACATTCAAAGCTTTTATTACAATTCTTTATGTTGACTGTTCACACATATTAACAATGGTGAGTCAGAGACACTTATCAAGATATATGAAAGGATTTGACAAGCATAAATTATACCTAATCATATGTTTCAAATAAAAAGTTCTTCCTTGATTATTCAAAATTTAGAAATTATTAAGAAACTTAAAGGGTCCAACTCACTCCAGAAAAAAAATGACCTTAAATAGATCATATATTCTTTTTAGGTCCTTTTTGGTCATTTTGCTCCTCACATATCTAAGTACTTATACATCTTTTGCTTCAAAATTTTAGGTTTAATGTTCCAAATAAAGGTAAATCAAGAAAAGAGTCTGTACACACCAAATTTATAAACTGTTACATATCAAATAAAGTGGTCTTACCAATATTGAAAATGACAAACTTATCCATTTTGTGTATTAAGTTTCCAATGATCCAAGAATGTTCTCAATCAATTACAGCTTCATGTGTACACTATTAATTTCTATTTACTGTATTATTTAAATATGATAAAAAATATTGATTCTGTCTACATATTCCAGTAATATCCTTTAATAATATACTTCAAAACACATCGAATTAGTTATTGAATTAACTGAACTTTATTTTCAATGATCAATTTCAGTCTTTGTATTCTAGTACTTTAAGATGTCATTTTCCTGCTTTGTGAATAGAATTGTACTAATCCATTTCATAATATCAAAATGAACTTATAGCATGTTTCAATATTCCAGTAGGGCTTTGATTTCTATTTCAATAATGCATTACTGAAATTTCATTTCCATTATAACAAAAACTATCTCAAATTGACAATTTTCTTTCCATGGAATAAAAGGGAATAATCCATTAAAAATAACAATTTTATCCTTGGAATGCAAATAGATTTAAATGTTATATTTGACAAGTTGAAGTCACCTAGGTCCACTTATTGGCTGTTTGATGGCCACTAGTAAGTCCTCTACAAATATACTAATATTTAATGTGATAAGTTGTTGGATTTCAACATAAGAGGTTCCTAGGGTAAGAAAAACCCTCTAACAATCAATAACAACACATAGCTGAGATATTTTTTTTTTATTACAAAGGCAATATCTTTAATATCTAATTATATTTTGTCACTGATTTGACCTTGATTTAATAGTTCACTAGACTTTTAAATTACTGTCATCCTCTAATGGACCTCATTGGCATATCTTTTTTACTATTTTAAAAATCTGCTAATTATGAGTTCCATGATGGTGGTGTTACAACAATGCATCAATGTAACCGTTTAATCCATTACTTTAATCTAAATGACTCCAAAAATCTTAATATTTAAATCTACTTAATTTCAAAAATATCCCGCAGTAAGTCCTACCGTTTTTTTATTGTTTTCAACTTAACTTATACAATATTTTTTTAATCTTTGTATTGCTTTTTTTATTCAGAAAAAGTGTAAGTACTGCTAAACAATTGAATTAAAGACTGTAAAGAGAAAAGCTCAAACACTAAGCAAAGCTGTTAACTTTGTTCTGTAAAACATAAATGTATATCTGGTAAAAACAACAATCTTATTTATATATATTCATATATTTTTGATCAACAAATGAAAGGTTTTGTAGGAGTACTTCACAAAATTTAAATGAAAGCCATGATTGCTCTTTTATTTGTAGGTTACATCATAACAAAAAATATATAAGGGTAAGTTAATGTTTGGGGCCATCTTGTTTGTGCTGTATATAGGTGTCAAAATAGAAAACCTTAAAGAAAATATCTAGATTTTAAGCAGCCTATGTTTATTTTTATTCAGGATGATTACAGGTCATGTTATATTAGGATATCTTGGTACTACACTGAGATGCTAAGGAGTTAGTTTTAGACATGTCACCCTACTTGGAAACATAATATTCTGACTCATTGATATTCTGAGGCTTTGGCTCTTATGCAAAAATTAAAAACAATCTGACGAAAGAGCAGGAATTATAAATTTAAAATTGGGGATTGTACCAATCGCCTAGACTAATGGGAAATAAGCTATCATTAGAACATTAAAGGAGGTTTCTCTTGTTGAATACCACCAGTAAGAGTGGTCAAACAGAATGATTAGTTTCTAATATTTCATGGAATCAAGGGAAACTGAATCTTACAACACTAGTGATATGAACTTTATGGTAGACTACAATTACTTGCACCAAAATCATGAAAAGAAGGTCAATGTGGCCTACTTTGTCTGGATGTAGTTCCAGTTTAGAATTATTTTTTTTTAAATAGTTCAATCGGAAATTCTTTTGTCCTTGATGTAGTTCATGTTTAGAAGATGCTACATTTTGGAAAAAAGATAGATTGTGAAGTAAAAGTGAATTAAAGTCAGTTACATTAAAAAAAAAAAATAGTTCAATCTGACCTACTTTTGTCCTAGTTGCTGACCTAATCTGTACACTCACTTACTGTGCAGCTGAATTCATGTTCGGATGAAAATTAAAATGATTCTTTAATTTTTGTAATTACAAAGCATATTGTGATGCATCATTGGTTAATCAGGTGATTGCAAAAGAAGAGTTGCTCCCCCTTATTACTGTTACTAAAATCCTAACAGCTACAGCTTATTTTCCTTGCATTAAAGAATCTGGAGAGAGCACAATAAAAAGCTTTCTCTTATTAAAGGAGTAGGTCCGGTTAGGGCCGATTTTGGCCTCAAAATTCAAGTTCATCTGAAGAAAGATTTTGGACACTTTTTAAACACTTAGGTGTCTACTTCAGTTGATTCAATCAGTTTATGTGAAAGATTTGAACTGATTTAGTCATTAAAGACGCTCAAATTCAAGCTTGAATAAGAAAAATCTATCAAATATGCCATAATATGTCACTTTTCAGATGGTTTTTTGTCAAAAATGAAAGTGGCCGCATCCGTGTTCATTCTCAACCTTTATATATGTTATGTATTATCATCAAATACAACTTACATTTAAATATTTAGAATGAACACAAATGCGACCACTTCCATTTCAGACGGAAACCGTCTAAAAATTAACCAAAATGCTAAAATTTCGAAGATTTCAGTAATATAGCATGACTTAATGATGCTAGTACCCGATACATGTGCATTGTATTGTCAAAAACAGCCAAAATTTATGTAACAGAAGTATTCTTCTTTCCAATAAATAGCTAAAAAATTACATTTTAACAATTTTGTAAAACTGCTACATTTTGGGGCCAAAAAGGGGTCTTACTGGGCTTACTCCTTTGTTACTTAAGCATTTTAAAAAATTTTGGCCTGAATTATCTGGTTTGCTCTGGTGACCGACCAATGAATATAAATGTTGCTATTAATACATAGGTGAAAGATTAATCTGAATATATAATAAATCAATGGAACAATACTGATTTGTAATCCCACAATCTTATTGAAGAGGAATTAAGAAGTTTTCATTTGGACTAATATTTTCAACAGCCCAAGAATGCAAAAACTTATAATGAATCAAAGTTTTAAATAATCTTGTGTTATACTTTCAGAGAAAAGTTCGAAAAAAAAAAAGCATATAAATACCAGAACTAAGCCATGTCAATGTAACAGCCACTATGTTCCGTCAGTTACTTTGTTCCGGCGGAACTTTTCAACTAGTTATTTCGTTCCAATGGAACTTTCCAACTAGTTGTTTTATTCCGAGTGCAGTCAAAAAGTTCCGGAAAAAAGTAGCTAGTTGAAAAGTCCCGGAACAATGTAGCTAGTTGAATAGTTCTGGTGGAACAGAACAACTAGTTACATCGTTCCAAATATACCATATTTCTTCCTTTTTGTAGAAAGAGGGGGAAGAATGAGTATCAGTATATATAAGAGCAAATCATTAATTCACAAGAATACCTAACGCACTGAAAGGGGTTTCTTTGAGGACAAATATGCAAAATTTAAGTTGTATTTCATAGCTCACATAAAACGGAATGAGTTGCATTATCATGCAAATTTAGTATTCATAGTACCCTCAAGAGAGGGAAGAATACCCCCCTCCTCATGTGGTTCTTTGCATCAATTCTCCAAATGGAACTTTGTGACTGGTTGATAAGTTCCGTTGGAACTTTTGGGCTAGTTTGTTAGTTCCGGTTTTAACTTATTTGCCAAAGAGGAACTTTGTGGCTAGTTGATAAGTTCCATTTGAATTTTGTAATCAGTATCTTGGTTTCCCTTTGAAAGGTTCAAATATAATATGTTGCGCTTTTACTTTGCATCAATTCTCCAAATGGAACTTTCTACCTGGTTGAGTTCCGTTGGAACTTTTGGGCTAGTTTGTTAGTTCCGTGTTTGACTAATTTGGCAAAAAGGAACTTTCTAACTAGTTGATATGTTCCGTTGGAACTTTTCAACTAGTCGCTTTGTTCCGGTGGAACTTTTAAACCAGAGGAAGAACAAAGTAACTAGTTAATAAGTTCCTCCGGAACTTTTCGGCTAGTTAGTTCTTTCCGCCCGGAACTTTTCAACATTGGAACAAAAGAGCATTTACATCAACACCAATTAGACTTTCCATTCTAAAGTAATTGACTTTTCCAGTAACATTTCCATTCTATAATTATCTTTGATAGTAAACAGCCTTGGATACTCAGACCTGATCTATCAGAGTCTTTCACAGGAACAAATCATGTTCAACATTTAGACTGAAATCTGAACTGTACAGAAAATGGATGAATCTGGTTTATTACTCTTCTGTTGTATTTTTAGTAATCACAGTAAATTGGTTGATTGGGCTTACCACAGCTAGTATATAACCGATGTTAAGCTGGAGCTTGAAAAATAGTAATCCAATAAATGGTTGCCATTGAAAATTATGAAAAAAAGATGTACACCCTCATTTCAATTTGATTAGACTTTGCCTTAATATGTTTGGTTTTTATCAACTTATTCTTAAGGAATACCTGCAAGTTAGAGTAATGTGTGCATAACATCTCCCTGAATACATTAAAAACCTAGTTGTTCTTCTTGAAAAACATTTTTTGAACATACCTATTAAACTATACCTCCAGTAGAAAAGTCTTTAGTTTTGGTTTTTTATATTGGTCTTTTTTTTTTGGAGAGGGAGGGGAGTTTTACTGTCTATTGTAGAAAATTACTCTCTAGATGATTTTTTGTTATTTTTGTCATAGGGTTGCTGTCTTATTGACGTATATGTCACATCTCCAGTTGTTCATATTGTGATCACTTTATTTCAGAGCTTTAATAATTCTGCATACAAGTCTATTGAAAACACTTTAATTCATCTTCTTATTTCTATATTAACCTTTATCTTTAAAATCCACAAAAATTTGATACTTGATGAATAATAATGAATCCACAGTATATTTAATGAGAAAGGACAGGGTACTTCAATGGACTTATTTGGTCAAGTTTTTCATGCAAATTTGAACTTTTAATTTGATATTTCAATTCATGTTTACTCTAAAATTAAAAGTTTGTTCTTACGTTGTACAGTGTTACACCATTGTCCAAGCTAGGTTACTAGGAGGGTTGAGTGCTCACAAACATCTTTTAACTCTTCCACATTTTATATGTGCCTGTCGCAATTCAGGAGTCTATAATTTAGTGGTTATCTTTGGTTGATGTCTTTGTTTTTTGTCTATTGTTTTGTCATAAATCAGTTTTTTTTTAATTTGAATTGTTTCACATTTTGTTATTTTCAGAGACTTTTAAAGCTGACTATAAGGTAAGGGTTTTGCTCATTGTTGAAGATGGTACAGTGACCTACAGTTTCTTAAACCCACTTCATATGGACTCTGTTAGAGAGTTATTTCATTGGCATTCATACCACATCTTCTTATTTCATATAAAATGGTAGGTCAGGATCCATGATATCCAAAAAAAAAAAAGAGTTTTCGTAAATACTCATAGATTTTGGATGATACTTTTATGGTTATTAGACCAAAAATATTATGCATAAAAATTCCACTAAATAGTTTTCCCTAGTATTTGTTTTTATGAACAATATTTTATACACATATTTACTTGGTTCATGCATGCACCCAATTTCAAAAGAAAAATTAAACTTTGACCACGTTTAGTCCATAAAATCTAGGGGAGTATTTATAATCTTTGAAAGACATAAAAGTTTAATCATCAATTATTTCACCAAAAAAAGGCACACTATTTTGCAATAATGCAATTTTAAGGTAAAATAGGGCTGGCTAAATGTATCTCCTCCTTGTACGCATTATGCTTTACAATATTTTTGTGTGTGTAACAGTTCCATGTATTAAAAAAAATGTTGACAACAGTTTTACAATCATCCACATTGCTAGGTCATTTTCTTTGAAACTGTCTAGTTTAGAATTAAATTTGACTTTTAAGACTGAACTAAAGCAAAATTCTTAATCACAATTTGCAAAATTGACATGTGAAAATTTGAACAGCTATCATACATACAAGTATGCAATTTTGGTATTCCAAGCCATAATGAGTAATATTAAAAGTATAAAAGTACAGATTATACTGAAATGAAAAGTGTAAATTTTATCCAATTTGTCCATGAACTTTTGGATCAACCTTTGTTAGTATTAACTTTGATTTGAGCTCTGCTTCAAGACAACACTTTTAAGACCCCCAACTTTTTTTAATGTATATCATACATCTGACAAATACACCTGTCTATTGTTGAATGTAAAAATAAGAAGATGTGGTATGATTGCCAATGAGACAACTCTCCACCAGAGACCAAACGACATAGAAGTTAACAACTATAGGTCACTGTACGGCCTTCAATAATGAGCAAAACCCATACAACATAGTCAGCTATATAAGGCCTCGAAATGACAAATGTAAAAAATTTCAAATGAGAAAACTAACAGCCTGATTTATGTACTAAACAAGGTAAAAAGAATATTGTTGTAGACTATTTTCCTCTCAATGTCTTTTTGTTATTTGTATCTTTGGGTTGCTGTCTCATTGAAGTATACCCTACATCTCCTTTTATTCCAATGTATATTAGTAAATTCCTCAAACAGCTTTTGGTATTTAGTGGGGGGGATTTTTTCATAACATATTTATAAGTTAATGTGTAATCCATTTTAATCCACGCAAAAACGTCCTAAATATTTATGAAAACACTTTCTTACCTTAGGATAGAAACCAGGTACAGACTGGCTACGTTCACGAAAATATATTTCTCGTATTTTATCCTTAAATTCCATCTTTTTTTTTAAAAATTTTATGTATATTTCAAACACTACTTGACTGCATCAATGTACATATCTGGTAAATAAGTCCACTATGCAAGACTTAAATTTTACATAATCCCTTTATATTAAGGTATAAATACTTTTAACAGACCTTCCCATAGTGTAGTTTATTTACCTTGTATATACTAATGAAACCAATGACCTCTTCTAAACATAAAAATTTTATTTTTGCTTAATACCTCTCAAAATATGTTTTTTTTTTTTTAAATAATTGAATACTCATCTGTTTTAGTTAAAATATAGAATTATTCAATATTAATAAAACTTGGTATAATAATACACCTTATCGCTATTCCCGCTTGACCCGAGAATCTGTCCCGCTCGAACTTTTGACGTCATACAACAATCACTTTTCCATTGTGGCGTCAGACATTTTCTATTATGACGTCAAAATTTTACGGGAACTTGTGTGATGTCCAGTAATGGCGGACAAATAGCGATAAGGTGTATTGGATGCAGTCCTCTAATTGATTTTTAAACTTTTTTTGTTGTTATAAATGGTTATTAGTAAGTTAAAACAGTAATTAACAATGTTCTAATGCGATAGTAAAACTATCTGAAAATTCTATGCTTATCCAAAATTTATAATGTTTTGATCAGTGAACCATGAAAATAAGGTCAATGTTTAGTGAATCCAGTAAGCTGGACATAACAATGATTTCATGAACAAAATTGACATTTAATTACAGCAACCGAGAATATGATTTGATCACAAATACTGAACATTGGTCAATGAACCATGAAAATGAGATCAAAGCCAGATGTTCCCTAGCTGTCACATAGACTATAATCCTTACAATATGAGCCCCAAAAAATTACTATAGCTAAAATTGAGTCAAGAGAAATACAAAAAAAAACAAAAAAAGGCACCAATATATGCAAATCAACTTAAGTCTAATTGTCCCTTATTACTTCAATTTTTTTTTTTCATTACCAGTAATAAATATACATTTACCTCAGATTCTGATGGGCTAGGAGATTGCATAGCTCTGATCTTGTTGACAGTTTCACATACAGTACATTTACAGGATATTCCGTGTTCTCTATGTTCACGAAAAACTTTGTCTACAGGTGATGCACTAATTATCCTTGATGCTTCACAAACATTGCAGGAATTTCGACAATTTCTGTCTTTATTGTGCAAATGTACAAGTTTTGGTAATTTAAGAACATCTTCTTTACTAGTATCTGATCTATTAAAAACTTTGGATATGTTTTCTGCTTCCTTCTCCAGTCGTGATGTCCATCTTAGTCGTATAGTTTCTTCTTCTCTCTTCTCATAATGTACATTGTCAAGTGTTTCAAATTTCTTTACTTCAAATCGTCTGGTTTTCTCTGGCAAGGGTATGATATCATCAGGACTCTGTTTATTTTTCTGTGGATCATTAATCTGTGGTAAACTAAAACGTACAACTTTCGCACGTTTGTGGACAGGCTGGTTTAAAATATATCGAATCTTCTGACGAGCTAAAGGATCACGCTTTTGTGTCAATAATCGAGGAAACTTCATTGTAGTTCATAAAAAAAATCCCACTCATTTTCAAAGTTAAATTATGAATCATAAAACTTCTATAATTTTTTTACTTACTGCAATCTGCTGTTGAGTACATTAAAGCCACGGTTTATTCCTTCATTTTGAACAAAACAAAACAATTTAAATTATGTAATAATATAGTTTTGAGCTTGAAGTACATATCTTTTAAATAATATCCTGAAAATCTTGTAAGTCCCATGCTGTGATGTACGGAAAATGTTAAAGGGTACTCCAATTCACATATTCTGATACATATTAATACATATTAAACACATTATAAACTTGAATTATTTGTTATTCAATTTTCTACGACAAAATGTCATCAGTTACAAAAATGCCATTTATTCTATGAGTACTAGTATTATGTCGTCACATTTAGGGTGAATACAAATGATACCCATCGGTTAAGTGTTGCCAAAATTTGTAACGGTTCAGCATTCCCATAAAAAAGATGACTGCATTAAAAACCTATTCACAATCTTCAAAATAGTCTAGTCTATTGACAACTTCAAAATTTTCTTCAAATCTGAAAAACTATCTGATAAAGAAAATCTATGGATTAAGACATTTTTATTTTAGTTTTCATTTGTTGAGCCAGTACTGATTAAAGAAGGGTTTATCAAGGATTCTCTTTAAATACTCATTTAATAAATGGAAAATCTAAGGTTTATTGCAAATACAATATGTCAATATTTCAAAAATATTTTAAGGAAAAATTAAACTAACAAATATTTAAAATCATAATTAAGATTACAAATCATTTATTAATAAAAACACCCATAATACACCCCCTAGATCGGTTCAAGATAATTCATAAAATAATTCAACAATTCATGAATCTAATTTCAAATCATTTAACAGAGTATCAGTACATCAAAGTGTGGACGGTGTTGCATTACATGGGGTCACCCCAGACGGGTGGTGTATTCAATAGTCACAATGTATTAAAACATGCAAATTAAATCAGTTAACAATATATAAGGTTTAAATCAGACTAATTCTGAATGAGCTCGTTCAATAGGTTTTGACTGATGATAAACATATAAAACTGAAGTCTTTATGGCCTTTGACAAAGCCACTGTAGGTTTATATTTATATCTTATAAAATGATTCAAAGCCAAGACATTGTAATTGAAATACTTAACTGTATAACATGTTCCATATCATTCATAGCAAAAATTTAAATTGCAAAACTTGTAATAAAAATAAATTCACCTCAAATGGGGAGGACATCTTTATTCATTCCTAGATTCTTAAAAGAAAAGTAAATAAACTTTTAAAGACTGATTCATAAGCATGAGAAAATGGACTGTACTGCACAAACCAAAATACATGTTTCAACCAGTCAAAACAAAGATGTCAGTTAGAGTTATCTCCCATTGAAAGTATTTACCATATGCATGCACAATGTCAATATTTTATGTATCACAAATCCATTACTTCTTTAATATTTTCATACATAGAAATTTTAATTTACCTATGATTTTGTTAATTTGATATTATTTTATTAGTATCCACATCTTTATACTTTCCCCTGTGTTTAACTCATATTAGTTATATTCACCCTCCCTGGATTGTATAATTCTTATGTTCCATGTCATTTAAAGTTTTTCCTCCTACATATCAAAATAGTCAATATTTTTCTTTCCCGCTGTGTACAACTTACAATTATTTTTATCATTACAACTTCATCTGTATGGAACATTTTATATCATCATATATTTCAAAGGAGCATTTACTTGTGTACCATCACCTGTCAGTGTGCATCTAATATTTCATATTTATGATCCTTTTCCCAGTGTGGAATTAAAATATTTCATAAACTTTCCCCTGTGTGCCACCCAAATGTTCACATTATTCTATTCCACTTGTGGCAACTAAAAAGTTTCATCACATTGCACCTTCACATGTTTCATATCAAATTTTCTACAGCATTATACCTTACCCAGTGACTACCTAATATTAAATATTCCACATATTTTCTTTGTTATGAAACATGCTTACCACGTTAGACCATTAATCTAAAACCATGGTACTGGAATTAGTATAATATTTCAAACATTTATTTAAAAATGTTGACCATACAAAAATGTATCGGAATGCGAAAGTAAATTTAAATCTCTGCAAGCAAACAAAGTGGCAAATATTTCTTGCATTCGTATCGTGGCAAGAATAATTCAACTAAAAATCAAATAGACCAGTAAGATCTGCAATGTGAGTTTACAAAATGAAAGGAGATAAATTTGGACTGCAACTTAAAAAAGAGGGTATTTTGACTGTACTCTAATCTTTCAACATGCCACATATGTCCCCATAACGGGCTGTTACACTTAGGACTCTTTAACCAACAGAGAGCAAGGCACTCTCCATACACAAAAACAACCATCACATGTATAATAATAATATGCAGGCTTTGGATGGTAAAGATAACCACTGAATCCCATTAAATGAGCTGTTTTTAAACCTATTTGGAGAAGGAAAAAAGCATTTACAATGACATTTGTAGCAGTTTCTAAAACTGCTTGCATATACATATCCTGAAAAATGTATTTGTCTCTTGTTAAAAACAATAATGAGATGATTTAAATAATGAATTAATAAAACTTCTCATTATAACACCACAAATACAGCTAAAAACATAAAATTCTATTTTGTATGACATTCAAAGCTGCAATTAAAATGTAGTCATCATAATAACTAGAGGCTTTCAAGAGCCTGTGTTGCTCACCTGATTCTACTTTGGTTATGGAAATCATGTAAAAATAGATTAAAATCATAACAGATACCCTAATAATGATTGAGGCCAAAGGACAAAATACGATAAGGCCCTTTTTTGGCCCCCCTATTTTCTCGTTTTTTAAATTTTGTTTTGGAAAGCTACTTATCACGTTAAAATATTCCCTGAGGTTTGAAGTTTGTTTGGATGAACTTCAAAACCATTAATTTCAGAAAATGGGTGAGGTGAGGGGGGTAAAAGGGCACCAAAAACCCCAAAAGAAGGAAAAAGTACGATTTTTGGCCATTGTTTCTTAAGATTTAATAGCGTGCGCCTACGTGACCCGGAGAAAATTATGGCGATTTAGACAGCAAAAACAGTTCACATGACATTGGAATAGAAAAATTCCTGGGTCACGTTGGCGCAGACACTAAAAAACTAAAAATTAGTTGTACGGAACACCTACAAAGTGAATAATAATTACAATATTTGAATAATAACATAAAGTTTACCCCCTCACCTCACCCAGTTGCTAAAACTAGTGTTTTTGAAGTTCATCCAAACAAACTTCAAACCTCAGGGAATATTTTAACATAATAAGTAGCTTTCCAAAACAGAATTTGAAAAATGAGAAAATAGGGGGGCCAAAAACAGGCCTTATCGTACCTTGTCCTTTGGTTTAATATTGGCCCCGTAATTTAATCAAAAGCAGAAAACTTTTGTAAAGTTTACAGAAACTACCAATAAATTCATTGACATTGTACAAAATGACTTTATAAGGACAATAACTCCAACAAGATGTCAATTGACAATTTTGCTCATGTTGACTTATGTGTAGATCTTCTTTTCTTGATATTTTTGCAGTTTACAGTATATCTCAATCTATAAAGATACATGTATTAAGGTATTCATTAGCACCTCATAAGGAACATTTATGCCATGTTTGGTTTCATTCCATTCAGTGCTCCTCTAGAAGAAGCATTTGTATGTATTTCCCATAGGGTCTTATGTTAAACTAAGTCCCCTGCTGGTGGCCATCTTGGATGATGGTTCGGCTACAAAGTTAAACAACACTTGGTCAGCACCTCATTAGGAACATTCATGCCATGTTTGGTTTCATTCTATTCAGTGGTTCTCTAGAAGAAAGCATTTGTATTTATCTCCCATAGGGTCCTATGTTAAACTTACTCCCCCTGCTGGCAGCCATCTTGGATGACAAATCAGCTACAAAGTAACTACACTTGGTCAGCACCTCAAAAGAAACATTCTTACCATGTTTGGTTTCAATCCATTAAGCGGTTTTCTAGAAGAAGACATTTGTATATATTTCCCATAGGATCCTTTGTTAAACTAAGTCCCCCTTTGGCAGCCATCTTGGTTGATGGATTTGCTACAAAGTAACAACATTTGGTCAGCACCTCATTTGAACATTCATGCCATGTTTGGTTTCATTCCATTCAGTGGTCTTCAAAAGAAGACTTTTGTATGTATTTTACATAGGGTCCTTTGTTAAACTAAGTTCCCCGCTTGCAGCCATCTTGGATGATTGATTGGCTACAAAGTAACAACACTTGGTCAGCACCTCATAAGGAACATTCATGCCATGTTTGGTTTCATTCCATTCAGTGGTTCTCTAGAAGTTCAAAATGTAAAAAGTTAACGACGACGACGATGACGAACGCCAATTGATGAGAAAAGCTCACTTGGCCCTGTGGGCCAGGTGAGCTAAAAATGTGTTTACTGTATAATATCTATACTATAGTACCCACTTCATACATTAAAATTCATGGTATGAATCTGAAGAAAATTAAAATAGTTTTGTATTTCATTCATTCACTTGTTGTAAATGATATTATTCTGAAGCAAAATTTGGTATAAACGATATTATTCAAAAGCACATTAGCTTATGAAAACAGTACACAGTTTGTCATGTTATTTAAGTCATGCATGTCTATGCAAACATCTAATGCTACTGCAAGTTTATCTTGAATTTGTCTACCATGCTTGCTGAACATGATGTTATTAGTAAGACTAACATTATGTAATAAACACTTTTTTGTTTTATACTATACTTTTCACATCCATTAAAAAACCTCTAAATGTAGGACATTTGGAAATGAGGGTGTTTCAGATAAGATATATATATATATACTATGTATACCTGATGCATTTCACTTATCATTTTATTTTACTCCTCATATGGAAAAAATCATATAAATTTTTAAATCCATATAACCCTGGTATAAAATCTTTTATAGTACAATTTAGAGTTCCTTTTTATGAATGAGTTACGCCAATTGATCTAAGGTCAACCTGTGTAAATGGCGACAATCAACTCTTACTATAACAAAACAACATGCACATTGTGATATTGGAAATGTATGAAAAATGCATGAATGATTGTGAAAGCCGTCTAGAAGTCTTTAGTCACAAACCTGACACATGTTTCAATAAGCATTCAAAGTTGTTTTTATGGTGTTACAATAATGGTTAACCATTACATAATTTGAACACAAACTGTAAAATGTTCCAAGGTTCTAAAAAAACTTTTGACTGACTTTATCCACTATAAGTTTCTATAAAAACTTTTGAGACATTTAAAAGTCTACAAAACTTTTTGTTCACTTGTTTTAGCAGTTTATTTTAATACTAATAAATCATGTCAAATTATAGCTTATTTTTTGTACTAAAATTACAATTCATGAATGCTTTTCTTAATTAACTACATTTGTTATAAGCATTGTTACATGTTCTGAAACAAAAAAAACTAGCATTGGTAAATCAATGTTACAGTAAAATTAGACAGTAAAGGAAAAGCATTACATCATGGGTATAGCAGGTCAGAAGACTGAGTAAGACTCTCAATTGACAGACAACTTATTGATATTGGCAATACTCAGTCTTCCTGGAAATAAGAAAGAGGTAAGTGATTCTACAAATACAAATCACCTCTCTAAAAACCAATACCAATGTACA